GGAGAGTGACGACCAGAGCATCATTGTGAGGACAGTATATTCGATCCAGGTCCTTATCCGAAAAAGACATGACGTTTGCTGCCTCTGTCTTTCCCTTCTTGATGGCAGGTTGGGCACTTAACACCTCTCTAAAGTGCTCTGCCTTCTTGATTGATCCCCTGAGCTCGCATACACGCTCAGGTTCAAAAACTCCATGTATTACATTGATAACGCCTTGAGGCGGGGCGTCAATTGGCATTCTGTTGGGGTTATTGTGATCCTGGGGGGCTGGTTGTGATCCTCCTTCGATGTACTTATCCAAGTGGCCTGCTGCCACCAATTCCTCCAAGTGTTGTCTCAATGGTGTGCAATTCTCAGTGCGGGGGCCCTTTTTTTTTTGTGGAAGGTGCACCGTGATCTCTCATCATAGTCCTTCTGAGTTTCTCCTAGCTTGGCTGGCCACTTGACGAAAGGCTCATCCCTTATCTCAATTAGAATCCGATATACCGGTTTCTTGAACACCGTGGTTATGGCAGTGCGGATTCTCAACCATCTCTTATCGGGGTCTTTTCCGTTATCTCGTCTGCCACGTCCGGTTCTGTTACTTCGGTCTACCGTGTTGACCTTGGCTGAGGTTTTCTTTTCTGGTATTGCGGTCGCACTAGATTTTGCTTTGGCACGTGCGCCATCCTCTTCTACCCTGATGTGCTGATGCACTATCAGGGCTTCCATAGTGAGGGGTGGCGTCATGGTAATCGAGTCCTTCAGTCTGTTCCCAACTGGAAGGCCTCTTTTATATTGTGCAATGGCGAGATTGGTAGGGCAGTCCCCTATCTGATTGAATGTCTCCCAGTAGCGACTGTTGTAAGATCTGAGGGTCTCTTTCTCACCCATGTCGATAGAGAGAAGCTGGTCGATCTCCACCGGGGTTTTAGTGTTCGTTCTGAACCTTGTTACGAATGCTTCTGCCAATTACGCCCAAGAGGCTATGCTGCCCTCAGGAAGTTTCTCTAACCAAGTCAAGCCGAGGTCGCCAAGACTTGATGGGAAGAGTATGCACATTAAGGCCTCGTTTCGCCTGTATACAGCCATGACTTGGCGAAAATGGCTTAAGTGTGAGTAGGGATCCGTCTTCCCTTCATATGTAGTGAATTTCGGCTGAAGGAAGCCTGATGGTAGGGACGCGTTTTCGATCGCTGGAACAAACGGTGAAGTCTGCAGCCTTGCTAATGCCTTGTCCGTCGGTTCATAGGCAGGACGCGGTATTGGCATTCCAACCTCGACGCTTCCATGCGTCCGAGGAGCCAACCGCTGCAAGGCTAAAACTCTATGTGGATCTCTTGCCCTGGCATCCTCTTTGCATCGTGCTTTCTCTTCGAGCACAGTTCGTAAGTCGGATGATCTGGGTAATTCCGTCTGTTTAGATCTGGTTTGGTACGAATGCGAGGGCCAATATGTGCTTCCTTCAGTGTATGACCTTTCAGATCTCGTCCTCTCAGACCTGGAGTGACGAGTTCTGGAAGACCAGGATTGGGTGTCGCTTGTCCTGAGGCTTCTGCTCTCTCCTTGCGAGGGTGTAGTATTCCTACTACGATTTTCTGAGTGGCGAGGGGGCGTCTTGTTTTTGACATGATCTCCTGTCGCCACTTCTTTTTTCTTCATCT